CCAGCATTCACCTGCTATCCTACCTGAATAATTCATGGCAAGCATTTAAATGAAATACTTAGAGGGTGAACAGATCTGGGCCATGCATTCTGAAGGCTACCAGCAATTTTGCTATTAGGTCATTTTAAAACAAAAGGAATGAGCTGTTGAAAGAATTAATTATTGGCTTCTCAACTCTCCTGGACCGCAGGGGCTAAAAATCTATACAAATCAATGCCTATTAAAACCATCCCCATACAGTTTATCCTCTTCAGGGAGGAAAAAAAGAAATAGGAAATACTGAGCAGTAAGAAGAAAGTGTTTAGAGTCATGAAATCTTTAAAGTGTAAAAAGAGATGTGCCATATTTAGCAGGGATTATGTCAAGCAGCATCCCAAGCTAGAAAAAGCTGACAGCTCACACATTTCCTTCCATGGAGGAAAAATAGGTCATACAGGACCCCAAACATGTAAACAGAACTGTCAGCAACATGAGCAGAAAGCACAGAACTTCAGCATCAGGCATGGGGAAGGTTGAGAATCGCACATAACTATGGAACGTACGAGCTGTGTAAGCGAGGGAGGACCTTCAAAGTGTGTATGGGATCTCAAAAATGAGTTTGAGTACTGTTATTTTCTGTGAATGAGAACAGGAGATCAGACATCCTGGAACCACTCACAAGTACTGTGCTGTTGGCTTCATGGGACCTCCAGCCACTGCGTAATGCATGCTGCTGCACCACCTGCAGCCTCAGGAGGCATCTCCATTCCATTCCATTCCATTCCATTCCATTCCATTCCATTCCATTCCATTCTCCTTATCCCCTCCAGGACACCACAGCAGCAAAAATAAACAAATAAATCAGTAAATAAATGCCATGATGGCACTTCTAAAGGACTTCTCAAGACCCGAAGAGCTTTTCACCAATTGCATCAAGCCTCAGAGCCAAGGAATTCCAGGTCTTTGCTCCAACAGTTCACTCACGAGCTGTCAAAAAATAGGTGCAAACTGCAACAGAGACTGCTGCCTCTTATTGCACAGCTGAAAGATCAGGGCGAACTTCAGCAGCACTTTTGATGTGAACCAGCAGCCAAGTAGGTTGAGTTTAAAAAGGTTCCTGCAAGGAGTTGTGGGTACCTCGTATTTTGATGACATCAAGTTTTGAGAAGCTTATAATAATAAAAAAACCACTCATAAAGGGGTGTGGGGGAGAAACACATTTTGAAACTGAATAATTGCACTGAGAAAAGCACAACAAATGCAGTGTGCCACAGCGGCTTCAGCACAGAGCACACTGGAGAGCTGGCTTGCAAAGCATCGACCTAACAGCAAATTAGCAATACAGCACAATTGTTTTCAGTCCTCACTGAAAGCCAACCTGAGTTAATCTCACTTTAATGACACAGGAAATGGAAATTCCCTTAATAAAATAAGTTATGAATATTTATTACTCTATTTTTTTTTTACCTGAAAATTGAATAATTCAATTAATTCTACTATTAATTATTGAATACAAAATTAATATACTGCAAAATCTCAACTTATCTTCAGGAGCCTCCGGCAATGTCGGATAAAAATGGCTGTCGGAGATGGGACGTAATTGTGCTATATGTGTTTGTGCATGGAGCTGTAGAGCACAGAGCCCAATGAAGGACTTGGTGGCCTCACTTGCAAGAAGGAAAGCACTCATAGGTGAGAGGAGCTCTGCTGCTCCCCGCCAGATGCTGCCAACGGAGCGAAACCTTCCTGTGCTGCTGTGATGAAGCAGGTCCTGACAGCTTCATGATTTATTAGGTCAGAATTTATCAGCAGGAAACGCTGTGCGGCCCCACTGTCCTTGTCTATTAAATGAAAAGCAAGGCTTGTTTTCCTTAAGCCGGGAGAGGGAAATAAAAATGCTAAAAATAACCCAGTAGGTAGCATAAGTAAGACTAAATTACTGCAAATAGATACTGACAGCGTATGCAAATCGCTATTGATTTGTATGGGTGTGCTGCAACTGAACTTTCTTTTCGTTCCCGAAATATTAATCACTGCCAAGTCTCGCTGCCTAAAAACAGCACTCAGTTCCTTTCAGGGCTGAAAATCCGCATCTGGGAATTTCCCCAACCACTTCACATCTCAGTACAAATGAGGGCTCATCGCAGTGTCAGCTTCTGAAAGCTGGCTTACCAAGCAGCACCCATCTCTCAAGCTTTGCAGCAGCTCAGAGCAACTTCTGTGCTCCTGACATTTGTTTTTTGGAGCTCTGGAGCTCACCCTGTCCGTGTGCATGGCTGAAACATCCCAGCTCCGTGCCCAGCTGAAAACTGACCTCACAGCTTTGGCTCAGCGCCTCACCTGCAAATACAGGCAGAACCACACTGGATATTGCCAACACTTCTGACATACACTCCACACAAAACAAAGACAGGTAATTAGAGAAGGTGCTGGGAAGCAAATTAGCAAAGTAAATCCATAGAACAGAACTTTCTGGACGAAGAGCGTCAGCTTTGTCATTGAAATTCCAATGTAAATAATGATTAAATTCTAGTTGATATATAAATGTCAAGTAATTTTTGTTAAATGATTTGCATTTAAACTTGGAAATGTCAGAGATTGCAGTATTGCTGCATTAGCAAAAAAAGCTTCGCCAATTTGCGCTGATGACTGGAATACCCACTGTGGATTATCTGGCAAATTATCAACTAACCAAACACCATCACAAGGAAACATCAAGGTCTGTGCATAGGGAGAGACTTGGTAATTTATGTTGATAAACTGGAAAGCTTGAAAGACAGTTTTAATAATATTCCAGCATATTTATTAGCATGTTTCATCAACTCGAGTCATCTAACGAGAAGTTTCATGAAAAAGCCTTTTTAGACACTGTTAAAAGTTTTCTTACGGTTCCCTTAATGTCATCACAGCAGCCACAGCACAGCCGTATCTGACTGCACCGTGCTGTCAGCACTGAAGCTTCTCAGTGACACAGACCAGGATGTCCAGGCATTGCAGGCGCACACCTATGGCTGCAATAAACTCTCCCCTCTTCTCCCACCGTATGCATTAAGTTCAGCAATCAGACATTGCAGAACTCGCTGCCTGCCAGGCCACGCCGCACTGAGCCACCAGTGACAGATCCTCTGCCAGAGGTTCAACCCGGCTGCAATTAAACCCAATATCCAACATTCACGGATCTTGCTCTTCAATATCCAAATTCCAGGACACACAACCAAGCGTGAGATTGCAATTATCCACATTTACAAGGAGCCCTAAGCACCAGGTTACACTTTTAAAACCAAGGCCGGATGGTGGTTTTACAGAGGCAGATAGCCAATGTTTTTGTGCGCAGAAGGTAAGTAGGCAAACAGTTCCCAGCCCTCCTCCCACCAATCCTGGCCAAGGGGATCCCACAGCACGTCCCCAAAACACATCGGCCCACTGCTCCCTGTGCACGCAGAGCACAGACGCCAACCTGATCCTGAAGCAGCTCCTTGGGTCAGCTGGAGCAAGTCTTCTAGTAGTGGTCCCTCAAATCACACCATGTATCATTTTATTAAGAAGCTCTATAAGTGTCAGTGGTACAATTCATTTTTATTAAATTTCTGAAAGGAAATTAGAAGCACCCACAGCAGCAAACAGAGAATGGGGAACGTTCCAGTTCAGTGCAGGATCGATGTCATTAATTCTTTAATACCAAGAGCTCTGATTGCATGATCTCAGCATTTAACTGCTCCAATTAATTACAATAATAAAAGAAATTAAAAAAAAAAAAAAATCAAAACGAACTCAACAATTTGAGAAGGTCCTTGAACAGCCATCACAACTCTGTGTCTCCTGGGACGTTATTTCTTTCAAGTGTAAACACGCAGGTATTGTAATATTAATAGGAAAGTATTTCCATGCATTGCCTTTAGCAAATCTAATTCTTAAAGTCATAAACACTACTACAAACACAATGATAATCTCCTCTCTTGAATGATGCCATGTGCACCCCAACTTCTTAATGTGTTTTCCAGCCAATTAATGGGCTCATGTGGAAAAAGGTCAGCAAGAAATTATTCGGCCTCATTTCTGAAACTCGGATTACCAGCCAGGTCAGAAAATAACCTTTTCTAATACCATCATATTAGCTGATGTATTGCAGCCAAGAAGTGGAGTGAAACAAAGCATTTATGCACACCAAAGACACACGCACAAAAAACAACAAAGACAAAAAGAAAGAGATGAACCTCATTGCTGTCATCAGCAGAAAAGGTCAATTTACTGCATTTCCTGGCCCTTCAACCAGAACAGAGAACCATTAAGGAAACAATAGGGGTTTCCAATTTGGAAGGTGGATTTGGAATGGGGGGTAGAAAAAAAAAAAAAAAGAAAAAAAAAGTGTAATTTTAATGTGTTACTGATAAGTAACAAAACTTTGTGAGTCTTAATGCAGCAAGAAATAGCAGAAAAACATCTGCAGTCTAAACTTAACATACCAGACCCCATGGGATGGGAGAAGTTAAACATTTATGGCAGTGAGAAGAATACATGACATTTACTGAATAATAAACTGCAAACATGTCTGTTAATTTGGCTTTTTGGGATCTCCTCACCATCAAACACTTAACCCCAACAAGAAAAACACCAAAATGCAAACAATCCCAGAGAATGCATTTTAAACAGGCAAAGCACAAGGGAAGGCTTTGTGCTTTTTTATTTATTTAAAGTTCGAGGCTGCAGGGAGAACTGCCGAGATAAATAGCCTGCAACCTCACTGCGAGCCTGCAAAATCCGCTCATCTGAGGGATACAATTAAATGTTCAACAATCAAGTTAAAACTTTAACCTGTCAAGATTGCAGCTGTTCTATTTTTAATCAATCTGATTTCATTCAATAAAACGCTCATTAAGTCAATTAATGAGACTTTGGTGTCACAAGCCATCAAGCATGACTGGGAGTTTTCACTTTGTGGCCAACGGATTGATTAGCAAGTCAAGTAGTCAGTGGAAATCAGTCAATGTACATTTCACAGGCGGAATTATTAGCAATGTTACCTTGTTTTAGGGGAAGTTGTTAGCCATTCTTCATGCTTTTCAAACGTTATTAAATAAGCTGCAATCTCCTGAAAAGAAACGCAGAAAAAGAAAGTTATTGGTGTGGCTGTCCTGGAAAAGTGAGAGTTTTGTAACACAGAACCCTTCTGAACGTCTTCAACAAGCGCGGTCCCAGCTCTGCCTGCGACTCAAAGCAAGCCTTCACACTTGCAGGTGCCTTTTACCATGAAAGTTCCCACAGCTTACAATACAAACAACGCATTTCTGTCTGTGAACTGGGATGTTGGACAACTGCTGCAGAACTCACATTACTATGGTTAAAAGCGTGTCTATTCCCTGTTTCCCACTCTGCTTTGGCCGCACCGCCCCACGGGCACAGAGCCGGAGCCTCGCGCACATCCGTGCACCACGGCCAGTCTGCAAGAGCAGCAAGGAAGGGCACGGCCGAGAGCTGCAGCAGGCAGGGCGGGCAGCGCCAGAGCTGGGGCCGGCCTGGAGAAGGGAAGGCAGTGCAAACACGGACACTTGAAGCTAAATTAAATATTTATAAATAGAACAACATCACTGCAGAGAGAATTGCTGAATTATTAATTGTTGCCATAAAAAGCCGGTGGGTGACATCCGCATCAGTGGCTGCTCCCGCCCGCACGGCCCACGGCTCCAACAGAGCCCGGCTGACAGGGGGCAGCCCTACAGGCCCCAAGCAGTGAGCTGTGGGTGCAGCGGGAGCAGCGTGGGGCAGCTCGGCCGTGCAACGCCAATGTGAGGACTGCACTGCCGGCCAAGGAAGGATTTTCTTGTTTAAATGAGAGTTCTGTGTCAGGGTTTTATCTGTGTAGCACCAAAGCTAAAAAAACCCGCAGTGCTCTCCAACCAGCTGGCCCAAGCATCTGCTGGAGCCACACAACGCAATTATATTACTCCCAAACGAGACGTAAAAATATCTTGTTTCCAATACTCTTGGTTTTAAGACTCATCCATAATGTCCTCCGGGTGTTTCAGCGGTGCCAGATCTCCGCGCTCTGTGCTTTATTAGAGCTGTGTGAATGTCATATTAATGACTCCTAACCAACATGTTTACACTGCAAATAAATCCTCCCAGAACCCCCCGCACCACAAACCAGCACGCGTCTGCCTTCCCAAACACACCAACCTGCCGCCAACAGCCTCAGAAAGACGCAGTGAGGTTGGGCTGTTTTGCACCAGCTTTGCATTGCGGGATCCCACGCTGCAGCCTCAAAGACCCCGCGGCAGCGCAGCACCCGAAGGCAAGGCTGCAGAGATGCGGCAGAGTTCGCAGCACCTGATGAGCGAGACGGAGCACCTCGCTGGTGCAGCCCCACGGCAGCCCTTGGCAGATGGTCTGTATAAGCAGGGATTTGAAGAAACAAATTCCCTTGAATGCAGAGATGAGGATGAGGCTGATTCACCCTCAACATCCTGCAAAAATAGGCAGGTTCCGAGCGTTTCAAATTAGCAAAGGATTGTGCCTATTCTTACATTCGTTTACTGTGAGGAGAATGAAAGAACTAGTAGCTCCCATGGCAAACCAAACCTGCACCATGGCACTGTCAGCACCGAAAAGCAAAGCATTTCGGGCTCATAAATCAAGGTCTCAACCAAAGGCTGATCTCCTTCCCCTTCCCAGCTGGCCTGAGCGCCGCAAGCTTGAGATCTTCATCCCCAAACTGTCAGGGAAGAAAAGAACTGCAGCAACAAAACGTTGCTATTTAGAGACAGAAAAATTGTTTTCCCTCACCTCCACTCTGCTGACCTGGACTCGCTCAGCACATTTCAGCAGACAAAAGAATAAGTAGATTTAACGTCTCCGTTATCATCCCACTCGGACAAACGGAAGCATCAGAAATAAAGAATGGTCACATAACTGTGTGCGTGCGGGAGGCGCTCAGGCAGCTCCTGCTTTTGTAAGTGGGCTTTTCTTTCTCCAGGTAGCCACAAAGAGCACAAGAAAAGCGTGGTGGTGCATCTGAAGGCAAAAAGCACTTCCTTAAAACACCGGAGGTCACCCAGCTCAGCAGGCAGGGCACCGCAGGCAGCACTGCAGGGCCGTTTCATTAAACGCACCATCGGTGCATTTTCCTTCTCTGAAACTGTAACCTGTGTCTGCCCAACAGCAGCAGAAACAGCAGCCCTGCAGCAGCTCAGCCTCACTGCCCAGACGTGGCCTGCAACTTCCTACCAGCTGCAATCTGTGTGTGTGCAGTGAATGCAGAGCAATCGGTGCTGCAGGCACACGAGTGACCAACAGAAACACACGTGCATGTACGTGCTGGGTGCTGCTCAGGGAGGCATCCCGGGAGCTCCTGTCCCTACTCTGGTAATATGGAAAACAAGGGCTCCAACCAGGCCCAGAGCTAGATGTTCAGACGATTCAAAATGCATAATTCAATTCTTCTAACAGGATAAAAGCAGGATTCACATCAGCCAGGATAGGAGTTCCCAGAGGCTTTCTGCTTAATGATACATTACAGCCTGATTTCCCTCCTCCAGAGGAAATACCTTGGATAACAAGGAAAACCGAGCTCACAGCGGCAGTATGAATTAACACGTACAGCAAGAAGGCAGAACGCCCTCCATGTGCTCCTCATACACAGAACAAGGAGTCACGCAATGGGGCAGCAGGATGGGATGCGCACAGAGCACAGCACAGCCCAGCAGTATAGCCAGCAGCCCTGCACACACCTTGGGGCTCAGCACAGCACCTCCCCCAGCCCCATCTGCTGCAGAATGCGCCTCCAACCCCACTCCCCACTGCCACAGCTGCAAAGGGATCCAGGATACACGAAGTCAAAGCACTTCATTTCAGGAGTGCTCCTGCTAAAATGGCTGCAAGTTATCCCAGTCAAACAACTCCACAAGATGCGGAGCAGAAACAAGCAGAAATTCCTATTTACAGTTTGACACCTATGTGCCAACTTCTGTCACTACATAAGCAACAAGAATCTGGGAAAATAATCTCTTGTCTACCACCTCACATTGTAGCAGAACCGCAAGAAACAGATGACTCAGTGATGCTCAGTGATACTTGGAGCGAACACTTGGGAAAAAATAGGCAGACAAAAAAGAAAAGCTTTCAGCAGAAGGCATGAAGTGAGCAGGGCTGGTTTCCCCCAGCAATGTTGGCAGAAGGCTCAGGGACTGCTGGGTGCCCCACAGCACAGGGAGTGCTGGGATGGAGCAGGGCAGGGGAGCGAGCCTGGAAGAACAGACGGGTGCAGGGAACTGCTGCGCAGGTGGAGGGAGACGTGCAGCTGTGCAGGCCATGGGACAGATGCTGAAGGAGTGCCTGGTGCTAAAGCACCGTTCAGCCTCACATCATGACCCCTCCAATAGTAAAGACTGAAATTTATTTTGCCAAGCCAACAGCAGCACTGGCAGCTTGGGAGCTGCAGAGCAACCCTTGATGCAGTCGCATTACCAGTAAAATAAATTAATGCTAGAAGAGATAAGCAGACAAAGGGAATATCTGTACCTGCAGTGATGAGACGCACCAGCTAACCCAGCGCAGCAGAACGAGCGATGCAGAGCTGACCTTTCAGAAAGGAACACGTGCAGCAATGGAAGCCCAACAGAGCAAGCAGGGGATCTGCTTGCAGGACCTCATCCCACAGCAGCAGCAGATGGAGCCAGCCAACCTGCTCCCCCTCTCCCAGTGCCAGACTGTGGCTGCACCTCACCCCAGACCAAACCTAAACCCGCTCTGGGTTTGCTCCTCTAGCATTCATACAGGCACCACAGCCATTCCCATTTCAATGTCCCTCTTACTCGCACATGGGCTGAGGGTGCCCTTAATCTCACAGCTGATCAGAACCTGTTTTTGGCAATCACTGCAGCTTTTCATATGAGGAATTTGAAAAAGAAACCAGGTTTCCAGTTCTGGATAGAGGGAAGGGTACACCTGCTCAGACTTTCCTCATACACAGATTAGGAAAAACATCTGAAAAGCCAAGCAGAAAGTGGTCAGACATGGAATTTCACCAGCAGCATGAAGATGGTTGTTGGAAATTGTGGTTGTCAGTGCTTGGCTTTGCAGGGCCAGTAATGAAGATTCAGTATTCATCAGCTCTGTTCACGCACCACTTTATGACACCAACAGCATTTTTCCTTTAGAAAAGGGGGAAGAAATAGATTTATCACTACGAGACAAAGTCATTAAATAATTAAAAACAAAACTATATGCACAATAAAAGCTCTCTGATTAAAAAAAAATCCCTGCATTTTAATGTGTGTTAATTCCCCTAATGATTCACTCTATATGTCTTACAGGGTCAAATCAATGTCTTCACAAAAAATTCAATTAAATCCCATTCATCCTATCTTCCAGGCGAGCCATTGTTTGCACTTGTATCCTATCAAACCACCTCTCAGTCGCTTCTCACCCAAGATTACAAACAAAAGGCAGCGTGTCAGCAGCAAGGTCAGAAGACAAAGACCCAGGCTTTGAAAACCCAACTCTGTCCTCATCTGTGTTGTTTAATTAGCAGGAGAGAGAAGCCAAAAGGACGCCATGGACACGGCCATTCCCTTTTCCCCACACCCATCTCTCCCCCAGTCCTGCAATTTACTGTCAGTGCTGTGTGAACGCATCGGGGAGCTGCGAGCTGCTCCCTCCAGCCTCACCACAGCAGTCCTGTGCAGGAGTCCCACTCTTAAGCCCGGTGGAACCTGAGCAATGCAGTTAACTGATCCTGCGGCCCGGTGCGGCAGCACCAGAACAGTGCTCTCCAACCACAGTACGTGACTGCAGCTTCTCAGCTGCTTCAATATTTTAACGGCGCAGACAACAGCACAGAGCTGCAGCAGAGCCGACCCTCCTCCTGCACAGCGCTCCTCACCTCACGCTGGGCGCCGTGTGGACAAACGCCGTTCCTTCCCGCAAAGCTCCGCCTGTCTGGCAGTGCCACTGGTTTTATTCTCAGCACCCGTGCTGACAGACCAACAGCTGGACGCCCAGTGTGCTGCAGAGCAGCCACCGCTCCGCTTAACAAGGCTGAGAAAGTTAGAGGAGTGAAAGCATTTTCCGTACTCCCTGAAGCTGTGCTCCAGT